AAAGTGATTTACATTTGAAAGGCAGCAAGGTTTGTATCATAACAAGGTCAACCCTAGCCTCACTCCCATTCAAAGGCTTGGCAACCAAGCACACAACTGTGAAATGGACTATTCCCTCTTCTCCTCACCCCGTCTGAAATCTTCTCACACGGGGGCAATTTCAATCCACAAAATGGTGGTTTTTCCTAAACTTTAATGAGAAAAGTACCGATATCTCGTTTTCATTGCTTTTCTTTTCGGTTTCGAAGTCTCCTATTTCTTCTTAAGTGTGCGATTTGTTCTTACAAACGAGGGTCTTCCTTGAAAGGTAGCTAACTATAACCGAATAATTATGTAGTAGAGAATACAGTGGTAATACAAATTACAGAGAGCCTTCACTGAAAAAGTTTTACTTGCGTTAAAATAAAGTGATTTAAAAGGTTATCAAAACTCTTTTTTAACTTTTTTTTTTCATAAGAAACTGTCACAATCTGACACTTGTCAATTTGAGAGCGAAGAAACGGGCACATGTACACTTTTGAACACTCGAGTTAAAGGACTTTCTATCACGACGAATTTTAACAAAAAGTACCATTTATTTCCAACGACGATTTATCTTTGAAGGTTTACTTCTGTTCAGTTGTAAGTGGCAAGCAAAGTTATCTTAAGTAAATTCAAATGCATGTTTTGGAGTTTTGAGAGTCTGTTTTGTTTGCTGGCGGATGGCGTGCGTAAATCTTGTCTTTCTTTCACTGAAAAACCGAAGTCTAATGAAACACATTTTCCATCTAGACACAAGGGGATTTAAAGCGGCTTTCTTTCATCAAATTTCTTCGGTTTCTGTAGTGGAATTTCCGGTAAACACGTTCAAGTTCAATTGACTTTTAAAGAATTCGTAAGACTATATTTTAATTCGAACTCGAACCGTTTTACAACGTCTTCGAGAATTTAGAATAAATGGAATTGATTAACGTTAGTGTAAATTGCAAATACCTCGCGTTTTTTTCGTTGAATTGCAATCAGTTTTAAAGGCTACGGGTCGACCTGTTTAAAACATACACCATATTTCTTCAGAAGTGCTATTTGTGGTTCCATAGTTTTCTTTGTCTTGAAGTATGTTTTACTCCTCAGGATCTTAAACCTCGCTTTCGCTTTGATAGCTTTTGGTGTCTTAATCTATAACTGTGAGTTACTCGTTAAAACATTTACATCTTTAAGCTTCTCTTGATAAAAAAGTATGTATTTATTGAGTGGAAATGCTGATATATTTTATCATCAACTGTTCATATCAACTTTTCCAAACTTACTAATACGTCAGAATAATTTATTCAGCGAGCCGACGCTCAATGTTACAAAATATCCTCATATTTA